TTATCAGTAGGATTTAATTTTTTTCTTGATGCCCCTGACAAGATCTCAAGCAAATGACACATTAGGATTTGAATGTGAAGTTTCCAAATAAAAAGAGGAACGAAAGGTTTCCGATTACATTTCATATTTCCCTCTTATAAATGTTTACTAAACTTTCAAATGCTCATTCTCATGGCTAATACTTTGCATATTTTTGTGACACAGTAGATAAATGGTAGATTATTTACCCAATTGAACAGGTAGCCATTTCGGTTAAACATCTTGGATATATGTTTTTCAAATACTTTGTTGAAAACTATTGAAGTAGAATGAGTAAGTCATCAAGTCTGAATAACCTTGATAATTTCTTCTTTATCAAAATGTTTCATGACTACGACTTCACCGTATTTTGGTTTACCTAATGAAGAACTTCTTAACTAAAACGTGCATTTTGATAATGTATTCCTTCATAAATATTCTTTATTACCTTTCTGACCAAGATTCTTCAGAATAGAAAAGCCGAAAGTCGGATGAATTTTTCAAATCCAGTGTTTTGAATAACTCATTTTCCGTATATATCTCAAAACGCTGGACAAATATACTGTAGAAAAATGAATGCGAGATTAACTATCAGTCAATGAGTGTTCATTCATAACTAACTGTTTCAACAATAAATCAGACGAAGTGAACAAGAAAAAGGGAACCATGGCAACCATTTAGCCTGATTTCAAGGAATCTGTACATAATAGAGTATTTTCAGTCATGTTAAAATATACGACTTAAGTTGATAAAAAAGGGTTATCTAGTTATTTCTCAGCCCGCATACGTTCGCAACAGACGGAATTATTTTAATAGTTTAATTAATGAGTCAAATTATTTTAATTGAGTTTTAGAACAGGAAGCCGTCAGAGACCGTTTAGGAAAACACATGTGAATGCTAATAATCTCTCATTTCCATTAAATTCAAGGAAGCTATTTTGAAAAATCTTCATGCATCGTGTCAATTCTTTTAGGAATCTATTAGAATTTTATGTGAAAAGACAAAAATAGTCTTTGAGCTGAAAAAAAGACAAATTAATAAACATCCACAAAAGTCTCAAAACCTCAAGGAATACTTCTAGACATTTATCTCTGTTTAAAAGTCCAATAGTTCTAAAACTGGCTTTTTCTGATCTTACTTATTATGCAATCAAATTATAGCTAAAGTTTTAGGGAGTTTCCTGAACTTCATTAACCACTGATAACCAAATGACTAATTCTCGATATTTAAATTTTTCCAAAAAATTTCAGTTATTGGACAGCATTTTCAGTGCTGTTTTCTGTTTGAAATAAGCTTCATGTAGATCTCAAAATACCACACTTTCTGTCCAATAAAATATATGATCAACCTAGCAATTTATAGATATTTAAAGTGTTCTAGTTGCAAGTAGTACATTGTAATATAATTAATTTTATTCACGACCTTTAGGCTCCACTCACGAAATTATGTAGCCCATGTTTTATTTAATGATAAAATAAAATTTTCCACTTTGAAAATATAACAGTGTGACTGGTTATTTTGAGTTACCCTTACAATATAATGGTCAGATCTAGAGCAAATTATACGGTTATGAAACAGGAATCTTATTGTATAATTTCCTCAATATGTTAGTAATAATTTTTTGGCTGAAGTAATATGACTTTTGTTGGCTGGATAAATATAAACAATACAAATATCAAGAAGTTCAGATAAATTTCTCATTGATTTTTTATCCGAGAACGTTTATTTTAGTAGTCAGATAGGAAGTATTTACATGAGTTGTAAGAAGTATTAATTCATTTTAATTCTAACGATGTAGTATATTTCTTGTAGAATATGGGTAATAACGTAAGAAATTAACATTCTTTACCGAAAACTCCATTGTATAATGATTTTTTCTTCAAACGTTAAGAGATTTCATAACTAACATTTGTCTTACAGTACCTTTTTGTTTAATAAAAGAGATATGTTGGGACTAAATTTGGATGTCGTTTTTATGACCGTCCGGTGAGGAGTTTTGAATTTTCTGATAGGAAGGTCTCAAATTCTCTAGCGTTTTCCTTTTGTTAATAAATTGTTGACAATAAAATTCTCGATAATTTAGATTTTATATTGTCACACTGACCTTTGTAACTATCTGATTAGTTGTTTCTCTTCAACTTCCCCATTTTCTTTACGTATTTATAAGGTTTCTGTTAGTGCTATATAAATAGAACGGTTGTATTACATTTCGCCTTCGGTAGGAAATATCAAGGATTCCCTGAATTTACAGTATTCTGTCTCTGTTATTTGTGGATAAATGTTTAAACTTGAAGTGATGCTGTGTATTTGTTATTCGATTTATCTACCTTGCGTTGATCTAGTTTCGTAAAAGACTAATGTCTTAATCTCTTGACATTTGAAAATATCGTTAAATACCACGAATCATAACATTTCTAAGAAAACTTGCACTTGAGTCCCGATAAAGGTATCGAAGAGCGCCTTATTTAATTTACAAAGTCGTACGGTTAAATATATCAGCAATAAAACAATTAGTGTGGTATTATTGGCACTGTTAGGATAGAGAGTCCAGATAATGTACTACATTACTTAAGACAGTTGCGATCGTTAATTTTTTAAACGGTCATTCAAAAGCATTTTTATTTTTCTTATCCAAATGGGATCACACCATTCTCATCATATCCTTAGTAAAACCCTATAAATAATTTGGGATTATAGTTCTACCACATACATATGTGAGACAGTAAGTACCTGTACTTCATCTATTTTGAATGTTGAATCTCTCTCGTTTGGTTTAGAAGATAGAAAAAACATATTTATTGCTAGTAAAAGATTGTCAACATTTCAATTTTTAATTGTTTAAACTGTTTGAAAAGTGATACCTAGAAACAAAAGGTTTGAAATCATTTCTTTACTGTCAATGTTCTTACGAAGTAATTGATTTCAAGTGTATGAATAAAACCAAAATATAATGAAACTAACAGATGGATAGTATTAACTGAATTTTTTCAAAAATTATTTCATCTGTTTATTAACGAATACTTATCTGTCCTAACTAGATAACACTTCTGAAATATTAGGTAACGTACATATAAAAAGCCAGTGATTTTGAAATTTAATGAAATATCTCAATATGAATTATGTTGAAACCTCTGATTTTATTTCATAAAAAATTTACTACTTACTGTATATTTCAGTATTTAGTGAAATTTGCTTTAAAATTGTTGTGTATTTTACATTTATATTGCGCTTGAGTGAATGTTATTTATAACTACGATATATTAGAATACATAAATAGAACATCAAAACATTTACGTGAACATGGTGTCGGCGATTAATTCACTATGTTTATACTTAGAATACATTCGTATCTTTAAAAGTAATATCAAGATGTTTAAAAAACTCTTTTATCCGTTATGGTTAAATCGAGCTGGAAATTCTAACCAATGTGACATGTTACTAGCAAGTAGTTAAAAATATACATTAAAAGTTCATAGCGTGGTATATGACTTAAATTAAATTTTCAAAGCTTTGAAAACCTTGAACTCTGTACTTATGTTTTTCTGTATGAAAAAGTTTATCATCTGCCTGTTATTTTATTTGTAATACTTGAAATCGAAGCAGGAATAACGTTGAGTCCAAGTTGAAACCTCAGGTCTCTAGTGACTTGTCTACCTACTTCGGTATGAAATTTTATTACTAGCCAAATATTAGTTCGATACTCACTTACTCTCTGTTTTGTTAGGGTTAGTAAAAATTGTTTAACTATTAAGATAAAAGTTTCGCGGGTAAAATACAAAAAATTGGGTGATTGAATAGAAATTGGTCAATGTTTTCTTTTATCTCAGAGACATCCCTGATTGTCCTACGGGCTGAATACTAGTTCACTACTAGTGAATAGGTACTTTGTTAACCAATATTTTGTCAATAATACAAATAACAAAAACATTATTAAACATATCATTTTGTGGTATTTAATGTCGCCATTATCTTGGGAAGAATCTTCTATGACGACCACAAAAAACTCCTGAAGATTAAAAATCTCTGTCATGTGATTATTAGTGTCATAATAAAAATAATTATAATAATGATAATAATGAAATCCCTTATTTAAAATTGACAAATCCAACAAACAGCTTATTTTCAGATGAGGTAACATAACCAATGCGGGGTAGATTCAGTGACATGCCTTATACTGATCCAGCTGTGAAATTCGCCTTCCTGTTAAGTTTCAACTGTGCTTCAGTCAGTTTATATGGTCCCAAATTGCATTACAAATTAAACTGAGGGTTGATAAGATTTTCTAACCATTTATAAGCTTCACAGATTTTAATTGAAAAATACATAAGATAATCATAGGACGAAAAAGATAGTTCACATATAAGTGACTTAAAATATTCAAAACCCGTTTTCCAAGGTAATAATAATACAAAGTATATTTAAGTAGAAAGAAGGTACTATGTAATTAACTGAATCAGAAACTGCTATGTTCTACTTGTGGAACAACTGACGAAAATCGTCACATTTTAAGGTTATGAATAAAATGTACATTTAGGGGAGATATTTTAATTTAAAATCCACATCGGGTTTGAAATTCTTGTTATAAATTCTGAACTTCAAAAAATAGAAAGAAACTTGTTCATATTTGATTTCATTACTCCTGAACTCTAGATAAAAGAAATACAGTGACGTAGATGTGTATGTCGCATGTATTTTCCTTTCTTCCCTGCACACAATTTAAATCTTTCTATGATGCCTTTGTTCATCTTTTACTCATAACTTCTATTTTTACTCTATTTCTTAGTGTAGTTACACTACCACATAATTATCTATATTTCAACTTTTAACAATCAGTATATCTAGAATTTAGAAATTGGTTTATCTAAAAGTTATTCTTTGAACGAAGTTATTTGAAAAGATAAAAAACAGAACCTAATACTATTTATCTACGGAATCAAAACATGATAAAATGGAAAAGCATTATACTCCATAGAAAGCATTGAATTAATTCTGATTAGCAAACATGACCGTGATTGAAGATATTAAAGTGAATCTAAAGTTTCATTTCATATGTTGTTATAAAAATATAAAATATATATATTATAACTTGATTTTGATCATCGTAACTTTGTATTTAATAAATCCTAATCATGTTAACAAGCTTTTATTGAATTTATTATTAATTTCTAAATCTTGTGCGCAACAAAATTTAGGTGTATTTTTAAATAAAAAATAATATAAATCAAACCATATACTAATGAATTCCCTGGAAAATATTTTCGTTTTGTATACAACTGTTAATCACATGATAGTAACTGTAACGAAATGAAAAATTTTCCATTTTATAAGTATGTTTTTATAATGAACAATATATAGTTGATGAGTAAAATAACGGTTAGTTTACTCATTACCAATTACACCACCGTTATTCAATTCAAAATGCTGTCATTACAACAACATGTGAATTATCTTTCATTTTGGGGCTGTCGTGATGATCGTTAGTATTAGTAATAACTGTAGTAATATTGTCATTTTCAATGTCGGTATCTGTTTGTACAATAACTTTCTGTGATGTAGCTTCTTGTTTTGTATTTGTTTTCAATTTCATCCATCCATCCCAGGTAGCTGATCTTGAAACCAATCGATAAAATTTTACGTCTTCTAAAATGTTTTGAAATTCTTTTGTTAACTGAACATTTTCACAAACCAAATCGTTTTCTTTATCTGTATTTTCTAATTCATCAGTTGGTGATTTACTAAAACAAGTATTGCTAATCTCCTTTATATCTATATCATTATCTGGTGTTGATGAAGTGACTAAACCATCACATTCTTCTTTATAAGCTGTATTACATTCTTCATTACCAGCGGATATAGATGAGTTATGTGAGTTTTGTTCTTCTCTTTCCATTATTGGTTCGATTAAGTAACCAAATTTCCAATTTTTTGTATATGAACACGAAGTATTAAATGGTTTATTTATTAAAGTAGATGATGATGACGTTAACAGAGCTGATGTATCGCTTATTGCTGACACTGGTGAGTTCACATTCATTGAGCTTTAAACAAGTGCAGAAATTAAGGAAGGAAATAAGGTTTTATATAAATGTAAATTAAATGGATAAGAATGTTTTATCTATACGTAAAATGAGAAATAGATTGCAACAATCAACACTTGTTAAAAGTCCGCCTAGTTTTAATAACCTGATGTAGAATATATTAAATTTCCCAAGTTAATTTGAAAGGGTGTTTTTTACCATTTCAGAAGGTTAAATAAACTTAATTATCTTGTAAAACCTTGTATGACTGTAACATGTTTTGTTTCATCTTGTTATTTTTACGCATCTTAGATTAGTTGTAAGATGTTGTTTTTAATAATTATACTTTGAAAACATTCAAAATGTATCAGTTAATATTTGAGTTTCGAAAAAGTAAATCATCATCTACAGCAAATACAAAATCTTATTTTACGCTGAAATTTCAAAAAAAGTTTCATAAAGTTAGCCATAATATCATTAAATGTAAACGATGATTCTTTTTTTATTGTGGGTGATATTATTCCTGCTTCATTTCACTTAATGTAATTTTAATAAATTCGATTATAGTATTTTGTCATACAGTTAAGTAAATGTTGATTAGTCAATAGTTCTGCTCGAAAACTTATTTTATATGACTAAATTATTTCTTAGTGTAGTTTTTATGTTTTTCACCACATTATATTTTAACCCGTTTTTATGTTCGATCTTACTTATATGAGGTTTGTTCGCTCACTAGAAAAGATCGCTCAATTCGCTACATAAACATTTTACCAATCACGCTTTTCCTGACCCCGTTGTTGTCTTCTATAACTCATTAGCTCGTGATAGAATTCGAATTTTCATATTCTGTTTTATTATTCCGCCAGATATAAATATTCATCTTTTCAAGCTCACTTTCGCTATTTTTATTCTCGAAATCCAACTTTTGAAAGGAATCAGCAAGCTTGCTCTTCGATTATCATTCTCTTCACCTCATACATATTCAAAACTAGATACTTAATCCAGGGGTCAGATTTACTTTTAATTTGATTACCAGCATAGGCTTAAATATTGCAGAGAGTTTTTATAAACTTGTTAAACCTTCCATAGTTCCTAGAGATACAATTAATGATGCACAACGAAATGTCTAAATTGTTGATTCGAAATAATCAAGTATTATTTTCGGTCAAGAACTAACCCAGACGTATTTGTGAATGACAAATTACTAATTTGCGTGGCCACTTCATATATTCATTGATTTCTCTACTAAACCTCGGACAACAAATGCATAAGGCACTCTTAATTGAATTATTTTCACATCCTTAGCTACAAATCAATAAACAGTTTTATTTTTCAAGGTTTAGTTTACTCGTATGATACATGTTGAAACCGAGGTTCTGTTTAAATAATGTAATTCAAAGTTTATAAGTACGGTAAAATTGGAGATCATTCTCATATATCTCAGAATCGATTTTCTATAATAACCTGAAATTAAATTAATTATTCATTATGATAGTTCCAACCAATTTCTGAAGTTCTCCAATTTCTGTTTTCCACGTATCCGCTCATTCAATAACTCATTTAAATAACAACAAAAAGTGAACCAAAGATAAGGACACAATCTATAATAATACGTCGCTGATTATGAAAATATCTCAAATGTGAAGAAAGCAAAGTAGATTTGTAATATTTTCGTTTATCAAACAATATAGAGCAAAAATTATATTAGTAAGCATCCAAAGTTGGCGTAGAGCCCATTCTATTACGTCATGAATTTTGATGAAAACCTTTCAATTTATAAAAGCAATGTATTGAGATAAAGTATTCTGAATGTATGGTGCCGGGACTTATTCTACTTTGCATAAAATTTTGAAGATGTAAACGTCGACTAATTTGAAAAATAAGTTTTCTTAGCCTAGAAAATGTTAAAAAAATGTTAAGAAATTTAAGTTCAGTGCCCAGCCGACACAAATTTAATTCAGTTTAACTTGAAACTACAGTCGATTGAAAGTTGTGCATTTACACTTAAATTAATGTCTACATATAGTTTTTAGTTAAAATCCTAAGCGTTGCACTATTAAGTGTCTTTGCTGAACTACATAGATTTCCATGGCTAAAGGCTTTTTCAGCAGGATTGAGAAGTTAATAAAAATTTGGAAATCATATTTAGAACGACTAGAAACAAATAAAATCACCTACATAGTGTATAGATCATTTCAAATTGTCTTCGAAAGTTACTGATACGTTGGATATTTCAGACACGATTGTAATTTCAAACTTCTCTGTAACCATTTAAATCTAGTTTTGGTTGGTAGTCATTACCATCACCAAATGAAATTGACGATATAAAAGTGTCAGTAACTAACAACATACTTTTGCATGACTTGTGAAGCTATAAATCAACTGTACTGGTAAGCGATTCATTATAAATAGGCGAGGAACACCGATCTAAATTTGTAGACCATAAAAGATTTCTAAATTAGTCAGTCAGCTTATAGCAGAGGTCTATAGTTTGCGTGACTCAATTACATTCATAAAAGCCGAATAATTTTATTTAAACGAATTTAAACACTATTTTTCTACATTTCCTGGACTCGAATAATTAAACCTGCCATTTTTTAAAATTAAACTCTAACCATTTGTCCCCACACCATTGGTAAATTTATGAAACCATTCAACTTTAATCATTCGTTGTTCTAAATAAATAAATGATAACCTTGTAGATTCATAGTATGTGCAAATGATGAATATTCAACACTAAGAATAAAATAAATTATACCCGCGAAAGGTTTAAAGATCATGATATCCACATACATATGCTAATTAAAAACGGTTACATTTGATGAAAATCACATTGTGACGATCAAGTTACTACGATAAATACCGTTATAAACTTTCCACACACATTTTCAGATAAAATTCAGTAGAACATTATTTCTTACTTTAGCCTATTGAAAGACGGAGGAGCAGATGTACTCCATACTTTTTACTGATTGCTGAATCATTGAAACAGTATATCGGTCATAATAAAACTATATAGTTACCATTAAAGTAAAAAAACAGGAAATTTGTTTCTAGTCTTCAGCTGATATTGTTTTGATAGAAGGGTACGTATCTCTCAGAAACTAAGCAGTAATTTTCATTACGAGCAATGAATCTTCCGAAATACACTATTGATAAATAGTCTGTATTAAAATCAAAATAAATATGAAAAGTTTCAAATTCGAGTCAGGGATTTTAGTCTTAGGTATCACTGAATTTCATTACTTATAACTAATGTTTCCATTTGTGCTGTTGAAATCTCTTAAGTCTGTCGGTTAAAAACTAGTACAGACATTAAACGGCAAGAGTACTCAATACTATCAAAGCTGAACTAATTTGATGTTGTACTCGTCAAATGAACAACAAAGGTTTCACTAGCAAACAATATCAGTTAAACTATCAACTTAAGAACAATATTTTGTGAATAAAACTAAATCATCTGTGTTCCAGTATTTACTAAAACTTAGATACTGAATCATCGTCAGTGACTAAATACTAAGAATAATGGAAAGAAACGAATGAATAAATAATTAACTACAAAATGAATAAATAACCAATACATTTAGTTAATATAGGGATTTAGTTGTACGTTTCTATAAGTATGCAATATAAAGATAGAACGTAAGCTTCAATCAACAATTCTAAATAAATCAATCCCCCCTTTTAACTACAGAAGTCAAACAAAAGGCTCAAATTACAAAGTAAAAATACTAGATTTTTTCCACTTATGAATACCCTAATCAATATTCACTTTATGTTTTAAGATTTATTCGTGCAATTTATTACTAGTCTAATTTGCATAAAATAGTTTGTTCGATTTCACATAATATTACACGTAAATGCTAGCCATTAAAAAGTTGACAGTGAATAAAAACATAGGGTTCAAAAACATTTTGTATATTGGTAATGATAGGTAGAAAGAACCATGACAGCGGATTAAAGAAAGGTAGCGAAGATACTGTTAATACTCATTTTTGTGGCCATAATAAAGTGTAAGTAGCCCTTTTAATAATATAGATATCTACGTGTCTGACTTAAGATGACTTTCAGGAAAATAAAAGGTATTTCGGTTTGAAAGTAAAGAATGCCATGTTGAGGATCAAAATACTTTGATTGTCAAAAACTGCTGGGTCAGTACATGGAAAAACTAAAATCAAGTGTATGGTCTGATTGTATTTAGTTTGGTTGATTTGGATGGTTTAGTCATTCAGCTCTACTAATGTGTTCATTCATTTTTGAGGGCTTATGAATGTTTTCATGGGTCTTGTATAATAAACAAACAAAACAAAAAACTGTTCTTTTTACGACCAATCTCAATCCAATTACAAAACCAAGTTTACCACTACACAAACTAATAACACGCAATGTATGGATTTTAACACACTCTAGAACAGCAATATATTACTACGTAAATGTTTTCAAATAAATAATATTTGTGACAAAATATATAATTTGATTTCACTTCTAAAATAATGATATTGCTAGCTTTTTGCCACATTTATAACAACTATAAGTTTTATGATGAATAGTCCTGGTTGTAATTAAAAGTCTGTTAGACTGTATTTTATATTCTAAAAATCAATAGATCTTTGGTAAAGTGCGTGTGCATCAACATATACCAATAAAATCTCACTTTCAGTTCTTTTCTTAAATGAGTATTTTTGAAACTAAAAATTACTTCGTGACATCATTTATATCTCCGTTCTTAAAATTTATCTCCACTTTATGCGCGTAAACACGATGTTAATTTCCTGAACAAATATTCTTGGCTATAGTCTCAGGAAAAGTTTGTACTAATGACAGCTGACTTCTAAAGTAGACAGTACAGTGAAATCATTAGCTATAACAGTTTTTTGATCATCTAAAATCTAACGATGAAAAACAAGTTTATACCAGAATACGTCAAACATACCATGATGTTATGGTTGTTTCATCCTCATTGCTACCACTATTTGTTAGTAATTTTTGATTATGATTAATGGAATATTTTGTGTTGAACATTGTATGAGTGATTTGTTCAGCATTAGCATAAACGGGTTGTGAAGCTTCGCTTAAATTATCTTCTTCCTCTTCTTTTTCTACACAAACATTATCATCTTCATGTTCACACAGTGTTTCTGAAATGAATGTTTCTTGAGAACTATAATTATTATGAATCATGTTTTTTTCTTGTATTTGTTGTTTTACTACAGTTACTTGTGGTGAATTAACATTACTAGAATTTTTTAACTGTTCTGATGTATTTACTTCAAATATAGTTTGACATGAACGTTCAGCAAAACATTTGCCAGAAGTTATAATAAAGTTTTCCTCTGGAAATATCCATGATGATGATGAAGATTTTGCGTCGCTATCATAAGCTAATGAGACAGAGATTTCTTTTGATAACATATTTGAAGAATTTTGCCTTTGATGAAAATTATTTGATTCTATATTTTGTAATAGAAATCCATTAACGGAGTTGGAACGTGGTTTACTTTTCAACAACGGATCAACTGAGTTGAGAGACGTTAGAATATTTTTCTTTTTTCTAGGCTCTGACGAGAACCAACAATGATTTGTTTCATTTAAATGAAATTCATTAGTTTCTTTTTTAATCTCTTGATCTATTATCCATTTGCTGGAGTCGGTAACACGTCTAGATAACTGAGATTGCATAGTTAATTGTTTCATTTGACGAAATAGTTTTGATTGAAATTTATCAGCATTCTCTATTAGAAAGATGAACAATCCGCGACCATCTTCACACCCACTTCCAGTTATTAGATAAAATCGCTTGGTATACACACCAAATCTACATTGATTCAGAATGTTTTTATAAGAAATTAAGATTAAATATAAGTTTTACTTTCCACTTTAAGAAAGGTTGAAGTGTCGCAAAATTTAAAACTAAAACTCTGTGAATATTGAACACAAATTTTACTGTTAGAGTTTACTTTTAATTAGTCATATTGCCTATAGATGGCATATCAACACTTGTAATAAATGCTTTTTTAATTCGTCACAGATAGATGTAATATGGATAGGTCAGCATATAAACTTATAGTAAATTGTCTGTTTAAATGGTGTTTCATAATAGAAAGTATTGTGTTACATTTTAAATAGCTATTTCAGCTGCACTAATAATGAAAATTTTCCTTTTTTTAACCATTCTATTTCACTATATGGTAAATAATGTATAAATGATACTTTATGATTACCTTTGTGTGGATGACTTCTAGTAGAGAATAAACACAAGGAAATTAGTGACAAATGCGTCTAATATTTGGATCAACATGAGTGGTCAGTTACTGGTGATAACTTTCATATCTGTTTACTGCCTCATTAAATATTAAACCAAAGTTGCATTAATAATTTTGCTGGTAAAATTAGAGCAGTATATCGAGGGCGGGAATGTAATAGATTGAAAACTTTGAAAGTGAAATCTTCATAACTACTCTTAAGCTAGTGTCGATGGATTTTTCAGTTACAAATGAGGAGTTTTAAAAAACTTTTTTAACTATATTTTATCTTTGAACCTATTAAAAGTCTATTTAGAAATCCTAGACTTGACACACTAATGGTTACCAGGATTTTAACATTTTACATTGATCTACTATTACTACTGATCTAGAAGTTCATAGCTAATGAAACGAATAAAAAAATTACTACATTTTTAAACTTAATTTAACAAGGATTTACAATCTAATTACTCTCTAATACCAAAATATATAATAGATTGATTGAAGTGAAGTGGAAGAATATAAACTGAACTCTCATACACATTTACATTTTTAATTCTCAAGTAATTCTGAACTTTGAGATGCATGTGTATCGAGCTAATGAGTCCCAAATAAGACAGCACACACATCCCAGTTTACACTGCCAGCCATCGTCCATCCCTGCTTAGATTCATTTATATTTGTTTTTTATGACAGTTGACAGATGATAGTTGTGATGAAACTTGCAACAAAGACACAAAAATGTATAAGTAAACTTTTTCAAGTTCTAAAAAAGTGAATAATAAAAGAAGAATCTCTCAAACTATTTTTTTTATGACTCACAAATGAGGAAGAAAGAGAGATATTTGATATGGTTGGGTCAATCAAAAATATTTAAAATATTCTTCTTCTATTTACATTACATAGTAAACCTTTACATCAAACAGTTAATTTCACGAATAACTGAGCAATACAAGCGACACATTGATGTGAATAATAATGAAAACACCATATATATACAAATATTTCTGCTGTGATCTGCTCTTTATATACCACCGCCAAGATTGTTAACATTGTAAAGATAAAGCTAAACCTCCCAGTCGCATAGCATTAATAGTAGTGTACTAATTTTTAAACAGATATAACTCTAATAGGTGTTTTGAATTTTACCTACATTTCAAAATTTCTTCATCACGTAAAAACTTTACAGGGGTGCATTAATTTTAGAATGAACAGATGTATGATAAAACGTACTGTTTGGTACTCGGAAAGTCATAACTTTATAAAGGTCAAACTGGGTGTAAAAATCTACTTTTTGAGAGATATTATGAAATGTAATATCATGCTTTATTTACCAATGTGATACAACCCTTTTCATACGACATGAAAGTTAAACTGCTTGTAATTAAGTTCGAAAGCATACCGTTAACAATCCAAAATAGATTAAACAAGAAGTTGTTAAAGACTCATTTTACAATTATTTTATTTATCACAGTTAAACAATAATCATTTCGGAATTTCTGTCTGGAAACTGTGAATTTTTATTAAACAGGTAGTGACTCTTTTGTCCTCAGAGTACTTAAAAAAATAAAATGAAAAAGTTCAATTGTATAGTTACAATATTATTAATACATAATTTACACTAAAACAGCAATATAATGTAACAGATTTCAGTACTATTGTTGGATAATTTCCTGCGATTTCCATGAACAACCTTGCACCTTCAATACAATCTTAAAAATTTCAACTGGCCCTTTAACAAAGAACATTTTAAGGAATATTCTCATTTTTCAGACGTTCGACAAGTTTTCTTACAAAATTATTTTATAGAATCTTAGTTTGGAAAGCAGTACGATTAAAAGCATGGCCTCAAATATATAAAATGAGAAAAGCACTCTACTTAATAACGAAGCTGATTGATTCCATTGTTGAACTTAGATAACCTCAGTTTCGTGTTAAGTAAACGATTTAACTCTCAGTATTCTAAAGCTATCAGTTCTTGTTGCCATACTTGTTGCAGGATTTAAACAAACTAAAATTTTCTATGAGTAGAATAAAACTTTACTCAAGAAAAATTGATGAGATTCTTATTTTGAGAACATTGTAAGTCATGTGAACAGCTGTCTAAAGCACTTAACAAGGTCTTCCTGGATTTCAATTTTTCCACAAAACATAAGAGACGTGGACCAAAGATGTGGCCACTAGAAATGAATGTCAAAGTGATACCGTGATAGTTTTTTAAACAATACGTTACAAACAACATTTTATTAAATCACCCTACCACATTGACAGAAGTTGTTTACATTATTTATATTAGATTTATTCGCTTTCATACTAGAAAATACAGTTAGTTCATCAAAGCCGTCTTGCTACTAAGTATGTGTACTAAAGTGAAATTTACCACGTAGCATTATCAAACAACCTCCCGAAAATGACAACTATATGTTCTAAATTTTGGTTTTCTTCAACTACCTATATTGTATTCTAGTCCATATTGATAACTAGTCAACCCAAACACTAGATCTCAAACTCTTAGAAAGACTGAGCTTTAATACCTTGAAAAATAACACTTCGCAAAGATGGAGGTAAAGCCAAATGACGAATTAAGATAGAATTTAAATTCCTAATTCTGCTATTAGATACGATCTATGTTTGTATAAAACACTACCTTACTTTGAATTATGTTTCTACCAACAGTTTTCATTCTATCAATGGTTATTTCAATATGAAATATATTATTAGAAAAAATCATGAGCGGAATATAGAAGAAATGAATAGAATTATAGATAATTTTGTGTGTATACATTGTATAAATATTTCAGTTACATGTAAGTGACTATAATTATGTATGAAGAAAGTGATATGTGGTTATTTTTACCAGACACACTAACGTCCACATACCCGATTACATATCTGTGTAGAAAACAGTTAATTTATGTTACATAATGGGGCCAAATCGATAAACAAAAGCTTCATTATTATTTACGTGTGTTTTTAAGTGGTAGACAGATATAAATAATGACTCACATAAAATAAAAAAGGATAATTAGATAAATAGGTCTAAAGAGAATTATTTATCGAGCTGCAGAATAGAAGGGTGTACACAATTAGGGTTAATAAAAAAAGGACACTAGTGATGAGCAATTGTTGTCGATTTAACATAATTTAAACACTATAAGTGTTGACAACATTTATATAGTAATTTTAGTAGTTGAGATTGAGTCAATTAAAGTTAGACCACCATGGAAAACCTGGAAGAACTGGATGGTCGTTTCGTCCCATTGTGGGTCTCTTCAGCAGTGCGCATCCACGATCCCATCTCGCGAGATTTGAACCCAAGTCCTGTCGGTCTCGCGCGCAAACGCTTAACCTCTAGACCACTGAACCGGCCGGCATCCAACGGTGTTAATGTCTAACTTCAACTAACATCCACCGTTGTCTTCAGTGTAACAAACACAACAGAATAGGTCAGTCTGCACTGGTCACTGCTACTCACTAGGACTCCAGGAAATACCTTTTGAAGCCAGTCACTAGTGAGCATATGTTGATTAATACCAGAAGGGGTTTTGCTGATATTATAGTAATTTTAATAGTTGAGATCATGAGTCCATTGAAGTTAGACCACTGTGAAAAACCTGGAAGCACTGGACGGCCGTTTCGTCCTTTAAATAGGAACAATTAATATGTATTCTTTGTTCATGTAAATGGCTTGTTTTCTCAGTTAAAAAAATTCACTCAACTTAGGGTTAGATTTTGAAATTTATTCGAAGTAATATTACTTCAGTTTATACAAAATGAAAGATAGAATAATAAACTCAAGACGACAAAATGAAAATGATAATTACTCAGTGTAGTGTTGGTTTTGTTTCCCAGTGTAATATTTTATTCGGTATAACATACGATATTCTTTTGTTAAATTAATATGGACTATGCTCAGCATGACACACAGCATGATATTTGTTGTGAATCTAGGTATTTTTCATCTATGTCATTTTATTATAGTTAATAATCGAAATGGGTGTACAATTAGTTTATAGGCGAGTGTATTTTCGACTAGGATCGTCGTCGTGTTTTCGTAGTTAATAAATCTCTATTTACACTAGTCTTATTGTTCTTACTTTGTAGATGACGTAGACCTTCTATCCCATACACATCGACAAATTTAGGTCAAGACAACTAGTACATTAGCAGCCACTGCAGCAGTAGGCATCCACATATACAAAGGGAAAAGCAGTATCCTTAAATACAACACAGAGAACATCAATCCAATCATACCTGATGCAGAAGCTCTGAGAGAAATGGAAACTTTTACATAACTGGTCATTATCATCGATGAACAAGGAGGATCTGATGCAAACGTAAATGCAAGGATTGGAAAAGCAAGGACAACATTTTGGCAGTTGAACCACATATGAAACTCATAACAACTGTCAACCAATATCTAAGTCACAATCTTTAATACAAAAATCAAGACAGTCCTACTGTACGGAGCTGAAACTTGAAGAACTACCACAACCATCATCGGAAAAGTACATGTATTTATAAACGGTCTCTTATGCAAGATACTCGATATCCGTCCACCTGACAGCGTCAGCAACAATCCGCTATGACAGGGAACAAACCAACTTCCAACTGAAAAGGAAATAAGGAAAAGACATCTGAGGTGGATAGGGCGTACACTGTGGAAATTAACAAGCTGTATCACTAGGCAAGCCCTAACATGTAATTTTGAAGTCGAAAGGGGATGAGACAGATCAAAGAACACATTGCGTCAGGAATCGGAAGCAGACACTATATGAATTAATGACATCTGGAACCAACCTGTAAGTATTACCTAGGACAGAGTTGGATGCAGAATACTGGTGAGAGACCTCTGCTTCACCACGAGGTTTAACAGGAGTGAGTAAGTCTTTTACTAATTAAAAAACTCCTAACTCAACTTTACAAACCCAATTACTCAGAGGTTTGTGTTTACCGATTTTTAAGGAAGAATTTTTATTTTTATTAAACATTGTGCTGTTGGAGAGGATGCATTACGTAAGTTTATCTTAAATAATACACATAACTTTCAGTTGCTTGTTATTCATAATGTAGTTCCTAAAATATTTGCATTTTTGGCTATTTTATTATCTTAAACCTGTCCTTTAAAACCTAGAAAACATTTCCGAATAGTAGTGTATGTGGTTTAACTAGCCTTGATCTAGAACAGGCTAACGTATTATCATTGGAGTCAGGTAAACTTTCCTTTCACATTTGATCAACCACCTTCATTCTCCATGAACTGAAAAGTTCTCTGTGTGTCGAGATACTAATGACATCGTTCATCAATAGCATCTTAAATAAATGCGTAAATTGTAACTATAATATCAAATAAAAAAATTACTAACCATAGTTTTATACGTGTTAACTTTTTTTCATATTTGATAATTAATACTCCACTTAAAGTTCTTGCAACTAGACAATAGTCACCAGAAGACCATTTGGTGGTGGATAAAAGTAAAGAATCTATGGTATTTACCGTTTGATCAAGATTACAAAATACATGATATAAGGTATAAAATTGATGAGATATTTATTCTGAATAAGGACTTAATTTTGTACAAATAAAAAACATTCTACAATAATAGTAATAGTTTTATTTTAAGTTATAGTTTTAAATTGAAATTTGAAAAAGATCAAATCCACAGTCAGTTATTTATACGGAAAATAGAAATAATAACTTTATTAGCAAACAGTTCTCATGTAGATAATCTAGAAGCTTTTTAATAATTCGCTCGACATTTTATGCTATAAGAAATAATATCTCTGAATTATGAGATGTTAACCTACCAAAGTTATTTCAAACACTAAACTGCTATAGGCAGATGATAATAATTAAAATTCACTCCAATACGACAGTATTAAATGTCACATTGGCGTTGTTAGTACCAAATAAAGGATTCATTACAGTTCTAACTACTTAAAAGTGTGTGATTTGTCTTTGAAATGTAATATTCAGAAAGCTTCGTACCTAACTCTAATCATCACAACTTGATTTAGCTACTTCAAGTATCTATTAGAGTCATCAGAGTATCTGAAAATCATTCATAGGTTGAGAAATTTATTCAAAATTTAGTATTAACTAAATTTGTCATTGTATATTTCGTATATATTACACCAAACTTATAAATGTACGTTTTTATAAATCTCTATAAAATGAAATGGCAGAAAATCGATGCTGACTTGTAATGTAAACCACTTTTCTGTTCATCATCAATGATGATTGAGAGCTAGTGTAGGAAATCAAGGATTCTAAGTTAAGTGACATACAGAAGTTGTACGTTGCAGAGGGATTCTTAATTAGTATACGATAGTCCAATAACTTTCTTCATATAGAAACATTCGTGATATACTTTCCAAATAAATGGTATACGTGCATAATTTTCGTACTCGTGAATTTATATGAACTTACTTGCGCGCATATTTGATCGGCCATAATTTTACTATTGAATATGTGTCCGGATCAAGTAGTTCAAATGCATTTTCTTTTATACGTAGTAAGTAACGACCAGACAACCCTAAATCTTTTGATTTTTCCGTATGAATTATGTAGACAGAAAATGTATCTAAAAGCCAGTATAAAATAAAAATACAAATGAATTCATAGTAAACACTTAAATAATATTAAAATAACCCATAGTGTCATTGAATAAGAAAAAGAGAATTCAGCGAAGAAAATTTTCTTTTCGACGAAATCATTTACTTAAGCTGTACATTCGTATATATATTTGTCAATTGGACTATTATCTGACCTATAAACGATTTTCTTCCTTACCCCTTGATTAGTACGTAACCCCATTTGTTATTTTCCTCGAATCCATTTTGGTGATGCAATTTTTTCTATCCTCCAATAGACATACATTTTCCATATAACTATATATACGAATGTACAGCTTAAGTAAATGATTTCGTCGAAAAGAAAATTTTCTTCGCTGAATTCTCTTTTTCTTATTCAATGACACTATGGGTTATTTTAATTATCTGAAGAGCTGCAAGGATCCTTTGACAGTGAAGGGACTCAGTAGGTTTCTTAGTTATTCTTTCAAGCTTGCCATAGCGAAAACCAGAATTAAATAATATTATTATTTTTAACTGTAAACGTCTCCTGGATCTATTTGAATTTACTATTTTCAAAGCCAGCTGGTTGAGTGATACATTATTTATTGCCATGAGAAAGCCGCTTTATGCTTCACATTTTAAATTTTAATGAAATATAAATTCTTTGCTTCTTCACTAAACTCATCAGTGGCTAAGTTCCACTCCACATCTTAGTATCTAGTGTTACAGATGGATGAACAAGAAATAATTAGAAATAATTCACATATGAATTATGGTTAAGCCTTTCAATTCACTATAGCCATTAGTCAATCCTACCATTCTCTGGATCCGATGTGTTTAACGATTGACTTATCATACACCAATATCATTCCAAATATCTTTTGAACACTGGAGATATTCGCAAGTGGGAATACACGATTTACATCTGAAACCTTAGTTGTTATAAACTTTAATTATCGAGATAAATTTCCTTAAATCTGACAATACTTATTGTATCACAATATCTGATATCTTGAAAATCAGTTTGCTGAAGCCATTAGTGCTTTTAATAATACAAAGAAATATATTGAAAAAGATAAATCCTACATATCATTCATTCATTATCATTTAGAAAACAGATATTTTTCATCATGAACTTTTGTTATCTGAACCTAAAGCATAACTGAAACGATTTCGCAGAAATATACTATTGAAAATTGACTTAATTTTAAGAGACTCTGTTGTTATACTTTGGTCCCATTAAATTAAACACTTCATTGAATGTATTTTCGTATATTGTAATCACTGTTTAACGATAATAGGATTTTAAAGAACAATTTATGTTTAATTAGAAACATTAAATCAACAAGCCATCAGTTCATGTGTGTTCTTGGCTTACACGAAAATGAGTTCGTTTACTTTTTCAGTACAGAAAAGTATGAAATACATAGTTCAGTGCTGTTGAGTGAAATGTGTATAAAAACTAAGTTATATGTTTTTTTAGTAAATGATTTTTGCCATTGCGTCTTGCATTATTAAAACTTCATATATTACAATTATTTTGGAACTTTCAAATTTGCCGAAAATTATTCAAGATGCTCATAGCTTTTAATTTTAAAAAAGGCCAGCGCAATGTATCTCCTCAAAGCGGGTATATTTAACTCAACATTATACAAAAAACACTTCCTTCAATACAAAACCTGCTACCAACTGATGCTGGGATCTAAAATGAAACGAAATCGCATTGTAGAAACATTGAAGACACTTATTAACCCAACATATATTATCAAAAACTTGTATTATTTATCATCAAACAAAAAAGAAAATCTTCGTTACAATGGAACGGATTTGATTCTGCTTTTATGACATTCCGACTTAAACATTGCTGACATTTTTAAAATTAAGTATTTTCAGATCTTATATGATGTACATTACTGATAACTAATTATCTTGTGACCAGGTGGATGTTATTTTACAAACTAAGTCAATAAACAGAGTTAGTTGTGTTTTGCTAATTGAAAATGATAGTTCACTTAAAAGTACGCTCACGCATATCTGTGACTTCACACAGTTGACTATAATATAATGTATTAGGTCGTAAACTAAAAAACAAACCGAAGCCTGACTGGTTATTGCAAAATAGCCTCTCACTCATTTTGATGCTAAACGAGTCTTCGTAAAATATAAGAGAATGCAAAACATGTGTCATTTACCTTGGATAGAAGTACTTTCATATATTTCATTATCTAAGATATTTGGTAGGGCTGAAGCAAGTAAATCCAACTCCGATGTTTGGGATAAACTTAATGCAGATGCTCGTAGTAAATCAGGACCATTTAAAGTATTCTTCTTGTTTCTATGCTTTGTAACCAAAGTTTTCAAAGATGAATACCATATATCTTGGTCAAACAGAGATGTAAAACCCAGCCACAACTGCTTTTTACCAAATAAAAATCGCGAACTTAGATGAATTTGGTTACATGGAATGGCATTTTTAACAGTGTTCAAAGAATGCTTCTGGTTAGAATGACCATTCTCATTAGATATTGATGTGTGGCCAGAAACAATGTGTTTTCGACAAACTTTGAAAGAATTTAATGGAATGATTATTTTTGTATCAGGTAGATCTAAAGTCTCATATTCCGTATCTTGTAAATCAGCCATGATAACGGTATTTTTCGGGTCTCTGTGTAAAACAAGCACTGCTCGGTTCCATTCTTTCTGTAAACATTTTTCACAGTAAAGCTTTTACTTGGTTGATATATGTGAATGGTTTAAAATCAAAAAATTATCGACGTTATCGACTGTAAAAGCACTAAATAGCTCTTGTTACTTTAAACTTAATCACTACATTTACAAACCCTTGGTGTTTCTAAGTGAAAAAAAAGAATGTAAGTCATATCTAATGATCTCACTTATTCAAGGACTTTTAAGAAGTTGCGTTTTTATTTTCGAAAGAATGTCATGTTATTTTCACTTAATTTTAGACTACAAATGTCACATTCTGCTATTCGTGTTGACTATAAGTCAAATATTGTTAACACCTATTCATTCAGCGAAACTACTATATTGTGATAAATATAAAGCAAAGGTGAATATTCGAAACGACCCCATTTGAAGTTATCATTTATTCTTCTGTCATATAATCATTAAATACTGCTAAATTCTTGTATTTTTGTCTTCGTAAGCTTTTGTTTAACTCAGAAATTATTGTAGTGGATTTTGCCCTTCCAAAATTATTGTCAGTTTATTACAGACCAATCACTCAGTCCTCTTCCACTTGTAACGCATCGTGCTCATATCTCACTTTCCTAACTTTGTTGATGTGGCCAGGAGTTTGCTCTATATTGTTGTATGAGTGATTAACATATTGTAACCTTATAATTAGACGTTATTTGCTTATTGAATTATTCTCTAATCCAGCTATCGAATGGGTGAGAGTGAGAAAATGCACCCTTGACCAATATTCATGTAGTGTTACTCTCGGCCATTACCTTACATTTAGCGAGCCATTGTTTAGTCGAAGATAATTGGCATTCGATAAACTGTCTAAGAGGGCTAATCAATCATTGGACTAGATCAGTACCACTGTTTTTTCGTCTTATGGTTCGATCGCACGAGCAACCTTCCACCGGTAAGTAAGAAAAATTAATGTTCTGGCTTGGCTATGCACTGTAAGAATCACTGACAATATAAACAAAACTTTTAAGAGCATATGAAAGGATAAACTGACAGTAAAACAATTTCTGTGGAACACGAAAAATGAGAACAACAAGCATTTATGTGTGTTAGTTAACCAAAGACACAACCAAGATAGTTGATAAGTACATCGCACTATTCATAAAATAGATAATAAATTACTCCCTTATGGTTATCCTTTCTAAATTACATCTGGTATAACCTTATAGCACTAGGTTTAATCTACTTAGAAAATCGTGATCAACCACTACAAGCGATATCACAACACATGGAGTGTTTACGTTTATGCACGCCGTACATCATCAATTGTTTTCAAATATGTTTTATCCTGCTTTTGTCTAACAAACCGACATACGTTGTTATGTTGCAGAACAGTTCCCTACTTTGTTTACTTTAATTAACCTTTTAGTCAAAGTACCTAAATTCTTATAATTTTTCCTCTTTAACAGTTATCTCTTAAATGCTGCGAGTGTAGACGTTTTGCTGACTAAGTTGTATATTTTTGGCCTCATGGCCTTTTACAGCTCTACATTGTTTCTTGTTCTGTAGATGTGTGTCTACTGCTACCTTATCTTAAAATCATTAAAATTTGTCTGAAAACGTAACTGAAAATATTGAGAGTAGTTTTCAGTAATTCGTAAATGGTGATGCACGATATTTGTACAAATTTCAGAAATAGAGCTTACAAAACTGTCACTCATGCTGTTAAGACAAACATAGTTTGACAACAGAGGCGATGACATATTTTCAATGTAGCCAAGAAGTAGAAACATGTTGCTGACTTTGATTGCATTTTATCTTTGACAAAATCATTACCGACGTCACATAAGCTAACATAGTCACAGTGTGAAATTTTTAAAAAACCTTTGGGGTAATCAGAGCCAACATATGATCAAGAAACACTTCTTTCATGAAACATGAGACAAAATATAAAACACGGTGACGTGTTTCTAAAATATTACTGTGAAAATCTTTTAACTGAAACAGTTGTCAATCTAAATCAAGAAGGCATTATCAGAAGACAGCGTTAGTGTTTAGGAAAAAACCAATTATATGATTTCACAAAAGCATGATAAAAGCTGAATTAACTCAAAACCTATGGTAACTCAAACAAATAATGCAAACAAAAACCGGTCCCTTCTGATAAAATGACTAAACGGTAGCAAAACTCAAGAAGTAAGTGAACGAGAGTCAGTATATACTATTTTAGGCTCAAACAAAGAAACATAAATATCACATCATAAACAAACTCCGAGGCTTCCATAGAAATATTGGTATGAACATATCCGCTCAAGAAATTAAAATAATAATAACAAAAAAACGAAGGCGAAACGGTATTGGTCGACAGTCGAGATGTTGAAGTGAACCCATTGAAATACTTTGGTTCCATAATCAGAAATGGTGGTTTATCTGATGGCTCGGTTCAAGCTAACATAATGAATGCATTACTTGTGACCGCTAAAATCTGCCCAATGTCGAAATCATGGTGATAGAATCAGTAATATTTTCCGTTATGACACATGAGATGAAAAACATAGTGCTGGTAAAAACTAATGAAAAAAACTTAGAAATATTATTAAATACTGCAATAATAATAATCCTCGGTATAAACGATATGGAGCAAACCCCAAAAAAAGAGCCACAATTGTAGAACCCAACGATTAAGGTAAGGCACAATGAATGGATATGTGATGTGTTGTAATCCAAAGGCCAGATGATAAAAATGAAAGATATTATTTAGTGCCAAATAAACAGTTTAAATAATGTCGATGAAGCACATACTAAACGCTGAATGATGAAATTACAACTAGACTTGCCGATCAATTTCTTCCAATCTAGTTGAAACACCCGTTCGAAATACGACTTGGCCGATATAATAAATTCATATCAAAGATAATTGAGGAAATCAAATATACTAATTAGTGAACGGACGTTTCTACAGTATGTTTTCAGCCACAAAAGAAATGAGCAAGTATTTCAGTAACGATTACGCCTTAAATCAAATAATAATCGCAAATCTGAACGAGTAAAATTGTCCGTTTTCCAACTGTTCCAAAGCTTGTCAAACAAGAAGCAACGGCGAACACACACTTAAACGTGCTACCTTCAAAATGAACAAAACCTAAAGCCTCAAATGACAGTTACAGTTCCAAGGAGCAAAGTAAATTAACGGTTAGAATAGCTGAGTAGTGACAGTATATATCAATCCTTGTTCAAAAACTGCAAAAACGCCCTTCAAGCACGGAAAGAAATGGTCGATAATTGTTATACTATGCACAACTTGTTACCGGACAATAAATATTGCTAAGAAATTTTAAGATTTGAGACAGACTTACAAAACTAAAGCAGAATTCATTGCAGAAATTCATAACCTTTAGACTAATGCTGGGCTAATTTCATCACTATAATGTATTTTGAGCGATCTAATGATAACTTTTGAAATATTTCATCGAAACGTTTGATCTCAAATATATCGACGCTTCGTTTTTGAGATGACCAATATATGTAGATGAGCAGGCGTTATTTATAAATCCAGAAATATATTGTGGTGTTTGAATGAACTAGTGATCCCTCTGTACTTGTTGAATTCTGGATTCCGAATTTCGAATACAGTACATTCGTTAGTGCTTGCCTAGTACTTCTTGATTCAGTTGCGTTATTTCTGGGATTCTTAGTTAGTTCTATAATTCAAATACTCCTAATCATCACATTGGCGTCGCGATGGAGCCTGTGATGGAATTGTTGGATATACATTCAGATTTTGATGCTTATGAGGATTACTTTGAAAGGTTCGAAATCTGGGCTATGACCAAGGAAGATGATGAGGATGTTAATATTGTAGCACATTTTCTCACATTCATCGGGAAAGAAGTATATAGTTTATTAAAAACTCTGGCTTTACCCGAAAAGACCATTTTGCTTCCTTATTCAGCTCTCAAGGAACTACTGCTAGACTATGTTAAGTGTACAAATTTTGAATGCGGTAAAGAGAGATTTCTTAAAATGATTCATGAGGATATAAAAAGTTCCACTACATTGCGTCACCTCGACCCAGTGAATACTCAAGGTTATGCAGATAATTCATTGCGGAGTTGTGATGCAGTTCACGAAAATGGGCACAAGTTTGATCAATGTTTGTCCTGTGGCAAGTTCCGCTCTCTTAATTCATGTAAATTTCGTGATTCTAAGTGCTTTGAATGTGGTGATATTGGACATATTCAGTCAGTGTGTAACTTTGATTCTATTAAGTTAAGTATTTGTAATGATCATTTATCTTTATCAATGATTTCAAAAGACAGTTTAGAGTCATATAGCAGTTCAGAGTTAAATGAAACTCAGAATTCTTGCGAGACAACAATTCCTAATCAATCAACCTATCAGATTTCTCATGCTATTGTACCAGATATGATTTCGCTTAATGATTCACATATTTCCGATGAAATTTCTTACAAATCTGAGGAAAATATTTCGGAAGAACCTAATCATGATCAAAAATCTGATGTAGTTTTGATTGATGCTGATTTTTCTAATGATCCTTTGCTCTGCAATGACATTCTTAATAAATTTGAAGAAGCTATTTCAAAAGAATCAAATCTTGATGTCATATCAAATAATACTTGTCCTCATAATGGATTTGTTTCTTGTGGGAAACTTGTTCGATGCGAAGCACGAGTGTTAAATGAGCTCGATTCTGATTACAATTCAGATGATTCCATATCAACTGTTGTTTACACTTATCATAAAGTCACTTCCAATTTATACTCTAGTCAATGTGAGAAAGATGTCCTAAATGAAGCCAAATTATTCACAACTTGTGGATATGAAGATCCGGCATTATTTCATGGGGAAGGACAGTCTGAATGTCTATGGTTCAAATTCTAGGTAGCAGTAGTTTCAGTACTCAATCGACATGTTGATCAAATACAATTCCAGGAACCAGGTGAGTCTGTTCCGATTTCAGTTGTTAGTTCTAATACTAATGAGTGCATTCTAGATAACACAGAGTCATTATCCAATACATTGTCGGACAGACACTGTATGAACTTGAGAAGAAGATGTAAAATTGATTACAGACACTTAGACTCTAATTTAAGCTGTGGCGGATGTGGTGTTTGAACGAACTAGTGATCCCTCTGTACTTGTTGAATTCTGGATTCCGAATTTCAAATACAGTACATTCGTTAGTGCTTGTCTAGTACTTCTTGATTCAGTTGCGTTATTTCTGGGATTCTTTGTTAGTACTATAATTCAAGCAAGAATAAAATCCAGAGCTCTAATAATCCCTTTCATAAAAATGCATAAAAGAAAAATGAGTCAACTGAAGCGCCTCTATCACTAAAATCGACACAAATTCCTTGGCCTTTTAGTCTTATCTATTTCCCGCACATAGTTTTAAAGCACTTTGTAGATATATGGGGTTTGTACCGGCAAAATTATATATTTCAGCCAAACATTAAAAAACAAGTGCATGAAAATGAGCAAATAAGTGTTAAAAGTAAGACAATTTACAGAGTAATATCTGAGACAGTTAGTCGCAAATACTTTCCTCCATAACGCTTGTAAGCTAAATACTTAATACACATACCGACATTTTTTTGAAAAAGTAGTTCATAAAAATTACCTTTGTGTATTAATGTACATGTAGTCAGTCACCTTTACGCTTTCGATACACCAAAGCAAACGAATATTCAGTTTTTTATAGATCCGTAGAGATAGTGGATTGTCATATCCCGCATTCATAGTTTTGACACAGTCCAATGATTTGTGTTTACTGTACAATTAGTAATTCGATATGTTGGCTGAAATCGCCCTTAAATTACCGATAAGATACGTATAGATTATCGACTTAGTTAGCTTTCAACTAAATGTAACTGTCCAATTAAACGTATCGATCCAAAAAATCAATGATAATTTTAAACCAAAAGCCATTTCCACCTTACCGCTCGGTCAATTTTAGGATGACATTTTCAGTCATAAAGAATAATTTTAGGAAATTTTATCTTTTCAAGAACACTGGGTTTGGAAAACTACCGCGTGATCAAGATGAAATTCAACCGCTACAGTATTTTACCTACCCGGTAGTTACTGTGTTTCCCGAGTATAAAACCAAACTTGTTTCTTGTAACCCACTGTAGCTGAAGCTAATAATGCCGCTTTGCATGTTTTAATCATAAATCTCATATCTTCGCAAGTGTTTAATTTTACTTTCCAGAAGTGCATATGTTGCGCATTTTCGTCATACTCTGTTTCTGCTAGTCACTCAACGAACTAATAAAAAGCACGAAAATAATTCCAAAGAATGTCATTTTCAAGAACAACTACGCAAATTGACTGCTAAATATGAACTGACATGAAAATATCTCGCTACAAAGTACCTATGATTATAAACAAAAACAAAAATAATTTAGGCGTTATGTTACTGTTAAAGGAAACTCGAGAACTATATAATTACACGAAAGACTTTTATACATTTACAGGTAATTCGTACCTTATTTGCCGAGCAGTTCGTTAAATACTTGAAGTAACCCCTTGTGCGCAGGGACAGGTCATTCATCCGTATATTTACAATAACATAATGTGTGTTTTGGTTATACGGTAAAACAACAATGAATTTTCAAACACTAACTGAATGAAGTAATGAATTAAGTGTCTTGTGAGGCTCCATTTCTAAGAAACTGAAGTTGATTACTAGATATATGGATGTAACGCATCTTATTTTAATCTTAAATCTTGAGTAACAAAAGGGTACTAAATATAACGGTCATGGAATGGATTTCAAACGTTCTTGTCGCCTCAAACAAAAGTTTTAAGGCAAAGTATATGATGTCATTGTCGAGAGCATGGATAAATCCACTGATCTGTTTGCGCTTCTTTCTTATTACTTGAAGTCTTTAAACCCGACTTCCAGTATTTTGAAGGCTATACTACTTCCATCTACCGTTAACATCGACTGGTAGATCTGAAACAGTTTACGATTCCATGGGTAAATATGTTCGGATTGTGGCTTCTATGGTCGCATTTTTTGGTTGTACCTAGGCTAGACCAGTTGAACATACTGTTGAGAATTAGTACGACAGTGTGCGATCAGAAAAGATCTAATATGAACCCACAGTTATGCATAGCTACTGTAGAATTATAGCTATAGTGAACCTAGACTCTATAGAAACTACATTCCATCAATGAGTGGCTGGTTTCGACAAGCGATGAGTATGAGACGCAATTTTCATCGTTTGTGTTGTTTCTTCCCGGCAAGTTGTGCAACAGGCAGATTAGGATTCCGTTTTATGTCTGTTGTTTGCTTACTGATATTACCAGGAGTAAGAATATAGGTAAGAAAGTGATCGCTTCTGCTTAGTTAGAAACTCAGCTTTTGTGTTTGAGTCAGGTCATCCGTATGGTACATATTAATCTTAGATTCTTTTTCTGATGTCATCACGAGCCCTGTTATATTTCTATTGCTTCAAACGATGGTGTTCGACTCATTATTAACCCCTGTATTATGGCCTTTATTAATCGTCTTTGTTGCTGTAAAATAAGTACTTTCAATATTACTCAATGCACTAGAGGGGAAAAAGCAAAATAATCCAGAGAGGAAATACAAAAGGTGTTTGTTTTGAAGGAAAAGAATGATAGATAACAAGTGAATATATGCTACATAAGGATAAAAACTTGAGGACTTAAAATCGCGACGTTACATTTGGCCATACTAACAAGCAGCCGAGCTTGAACTCAATAATTTTCTTACAAGTCCTAGTTTTGCGAGTGAACGGGTACATTCCGGAGTTGAAGTAACTAGGATGAAAGCAATCGATCGAGGCAGCTAAACCTATCACACAGTGGTTCAAGTCTATTGTGGTCATGGTTGTTAAGTTGGCCATTATGGTTGTCCTACAGCTAATGGGGACGCATCTTATGACTTTTAAGAAAGATGATACTCAAATATGACAGTGGAAGTCGGATGTGTTCTGTTGTTGGTAGGAGGTCAAGGTGACACTAACTTATTAACGACCTTTGATGGATGCTAAAGCAACATCGCTAAAACTGACCTACTTACTAGGATATAATAAGGATTATATAATGCTGTGAGAAATAAGGATTACGATTGAAATGTATGAGTTAGGGTTAGGAATTAGAGCTATGACTTTAATTGTGGACTGACAGCCAGTGTCGAAACCAAGTGTAACTAGAATGGGTAAATGATCTTGACGTCAATTCCCAAGTCCTGTTAAATTTGTTTCCATTTACTCGTCTGTTAGTTACTGATTCACAGAGATTAGCGAGTCCACATCAGTCTCAAGGAGCCCGAGTAACTTACAGTGGTATATTCCACCATCTTGATTACAACCAATGCTTGGTCGTTATTTAACCTGAACAATTTTAATTAGTCCGAAATTATCAATGTTCGAGAAGGCATAAGATAAGACTTCCACATCTCGATTTTCATTTCAAGTATAAATGGTTTCATGGAAACTTAATAAATCTTCAATAACTATTGATGATTGGTTCGACCTTCAATCTGTCAATCTATGGATTATTAAGCAACAGATAATGAATTGTCAGTCGGAAGTCTCTAACAACGCTTTTTTAATCCGGATTCATAGGCTCTGTGTCACCGCGCAAGACTGGCCTTGCAAGTACATTTGACTTTCGCTTCCGACCACCTGTCTCCCAATGTCAGTGCCACAAACGAGAGCATTGATGAACGGTGTTATCATTATTGGTTTTGATTATCAGTTACAGTACATTACCCTGAGCACATGCCGTTTAGTACGGTCTAAATAGTATGTAATGAAATATTTTGTAGTCCCACAACCTTATTCATATACTTTCTCTGAAGTCTGTTATCATGTTTAGAATCTCCAAGACCACGTATGGTTATGCAATATCTGTGTTTCATCCAATCAAATATTCTTAAAGCATAGCATTTCCATCTTTTTACTTCATTGCAGTTGTTGAGTGTATTTCTTCCAGAATTTACGTACATGTCATTAACTGCCAAAATATCGTTTATATTTGATACATCCAGTTGTAAATTAGAACATATATGACCGAACAATATCGTTTCCAATTAGATCCTCATTAGGCTCTACTCTAATATACAATATTATTTATAAGCATTTATGAAATTATTAAACCATTCAAAGCAGTTTATGAGTCAGTGATAACAGTGGAATAGATTATCTAAATAAACATGATAAGTAAAAAGTACAGACTGATTGTGTGATGATAGATGTTTTAGTTGTGACAAGAATAACATAGACCTGAACCCATGTTTCATTATGAGAAATAGGTCAGATGTTTTGCATACAGTGTGTAAAGTTTTAGCACGGCATCGAGTCGTGTAAGAGTGTTGATTTTAAGTAACCTAAGAGTCTGTTCAGTTATGATGAATAAAATGTGTAGGAATGAACGAAGGGGAAATATCCAAAAATACGAGAATATCACAGTATATAAAATTTGAAGTAAAGAAGTGATATATAAAGTTGAGAAAAGGAGCAGACTCACAGTTTACAAACAGTTGTACCAGATTACGTTGGGCTCACCACTGAAGATTCCACATGTATTTGTAGTTTGACAACACCTTAACCAGTAACGCGCTATCTAACTGAAACATGCTCACCCCACTGAAATCAGAAGTGGGAAGCGAAAATGTCCGAAGATGTATTTGATAGGCTATCATTATATCGAGAAGTGACTGATCTCAACCGGCTAGCTGTTTTAGGAGAAGTTGAGAATGACGTTCCAAATCGTGATCTGGTGTGAACGCGTAACCGAGCACCTTCAGCTGGGTGCATCCATTAAAGAAATTATGGTCAGCATAAAATGTCGAAGACATATGGAGCTATTGATTTTCGGTATTTATTTCTCACTACAACTTAATTATGTATGTTTTTTCCAATATCAACCCTCATCTTCATGCATCAAATTCCTTCACAAATATTATCAATACGAACGAATGAGGTTTTGATAATTAAGAGTAATTGAATTATAGTATGAACTAAGAATCCCAGAAATAACGCAATTGAATCAAGAAGTACTAGACAAGCACTAACGAATGTACTGTATTTGAAATTCGGAATCCAGAATTCAACAAGTACAGAGGGATCACTAGTTCGTTCAAACACCACATCCGCCACAGCTTAAATTAGAGTCTAAGTGTCTGTAATCAATTTTACATCTTCTTCTCAAGTTCATACAGTGTCTGTCCGACAATGTATTGGATAATGACTCTGTGTTATCTAGAATGCACTCATTAGTATTAGAACTAACAACTGAAATCGGAACAGACTTACCTGGTTCCTGGAATTGTATTTGATCAACACGTCGATTGTGTGTACTTAAGTCATTGATATCTAGAAGTCGCACCACAGATTTCCCGACATTCTTCAGAACGATCCCCGTGGATGGTCAAATGTCATTGCCACGATAATATGTAACTTCTGCAGACTCCAAACATTTCATATTCGACCGGAGAACTCTTCCTTTTAATAGTTTTGATGGAGTCTCTTTCGTCAACGAATGTCTGGCATTTCTATGTTGCAGTAGAAAGGTATCTACTCCCCTCTCCAGCTCATTAAATGTTGTGGCGGCAGTAAAATCAATAGCAGTTTTTAATGTCGTGACAAAATTTTCTGCCTGACCATTGGAACAAGGATGTCTGGGAGCAGTATACAGATGTTTGCACCCTATACCATTTAACCAGGTAGTGACTGCATCTGCAGCAAAATGAGAGCCGTTATCAGTCACTAATACCATTGGAACCCCTTCTCGACTAAACACCTTTCTTAATGCTTGAATTGTGAAGTCAGAATTTGGTGAAGTTGTGAAAAAAACTTCAGGCCACTTTGAAAAAGAATCAATGACTACAAGCGCATAGTATTTGCCAAGAAACGGACCACAATAGTCTGCATGAATTCTCTGCCAGGCCTCAGACGATACTGGCCATGGGGTTCACTTCGAATGCTGATTTTTCAGCTTATGACACTTTTCACAATTGTTTGCTGTACGACAAATATCTGCATTTATCTCTGGCCACCAACATGTGAGCTTCGCCAAGGACTTCATTTTCTCAACTCTAAATGTCCACTATGAAGATCTTCTAGGACAGATTTACGCAATGAAGGAGGAATATCAACACGATCATTTAAACATAAAATACCATCAGGAGTAGTATATAGCTCATCTCGCTTTGAAAAATAGATAGGAAATCTGCGTTTGAGATTAGCATTCCAACATTTCCGTATAGCATTAATTATACATCCAAAGTATTTACGAGTTTCTCTAATGAGATCTGGACGCTTGACTGGTAAAGGTTGCACTAACAAATAGACGAGAAAAATTAGGAATAAAACGAGAATAGTATTGAAGAGCACCCACTAGTGAACGTAGTTCTGTAAGATTTTTTGGAGTCGGTGCATTTGTCAGTGGAGTTAGTCATTTCATATCTGGTCTAATACCATTACCATCAACTAGGTATCCAAGACATTCAAAACTAGATACACTAAATGAACACTTATTTGGATTCACTGTAATACTCTTCACAATTAAACGACGCAATAAAGCAATAAGTCTCTGGTCATGAACTA